CCATGGTTGTCTTCCTCAACACTGCCGCGGTTTATACATTGATAGTCTTGCTTGTCAAGGCACATCCCAAGGCCTCTGCGCATGATGCATTTCTGCGGATCGTCAACGAAACAGGCTGGTCTTCAGATGGATTCGTATTCTTGCTCGGGTTTCTACCGGGTCTCTTGACTGTCACCCTGCCTGATGCCGCTGCCCGTATGGCTGAGGAGGTCCCGAATCCCGCAAAAACAATTCCTCTGGTCATGTTTGCAACATCTCTTCTGAACGCGGTTGCCGGTCTCGCCATGGTCACCGTCCTGATCTTCTGCACGGTCAAACCAGAAAACCTTCTCCACCCTCTGGGTGGGCTTGCAGCCGTACAGCTTGCCCATGACGCCTGGCCAAATAAGGGTTGGGTCATCACCTTCACAATCGTCCAGTCGATTGTCCCTCTGAATGGCGCCAGCGCGATCATTACCGGTGCAAGTCGCATTCTCTGGGCCTTTGCCAAAATCGGTGGCCTCCCAGCTGGATCTTGGATTGGTGCCACGGATTCTCATCTTAAAGTGCCGGTGAACGCTGTGCTTCTCACCTGTATCTTGTCGGCTTTACTGTCACTTCTCGTCTTTGGACCCTACACTGTCCTCAACGGAATTTTTGGGAGTTCTGGGGTGTGCCTAGCTACATCCTATCTTTTCCCCATCTTGTTCATGCTCGTGAGGGGCCGTAAATCTCTGCCACCGGTCCGCCACTTCAATCTAGGTCCCTCGGGTCCGGTCATCAATGTCTTGGCTCTCGCATGGCTCTCATTAGTGGTGGTTGTGATTTGCTTACCAACGTACAGTCCTGTGACTTTGGACGCCATGAATTGGGCGTCGGCTGTCTGCGGAGGCATCCTGATTCTTGTATTGGTGAATTGGTTTGTCGTCAAGAGGTCGTTCAAGATTCCGAAACCAATCTTTGTGGCGGAGTTGCACCTCCAGAGTTGAGATCCTGCGATTGCGTTACTGATCACCATACGATCCGCAGTCATGCTGTCTAGAGGCCAAGCGTGCATATTGGAGGCGGGAGGTTACAGATGCCATCAAGTTGACAGTCACTTGATACGCTGGAAGCAGACACGTTCACTGCGTGCTCAAGAAATACCTAATTTACTAATTTGCCTTTGGAAACTATGGGTTGGCCATTCTGGGCCAAGCAAAACTCTCAGAGTATCAAGTGAAGAACCTTGGGTGAGCGGTGTGAAATCTGTCGAGGAACCAAATATTTGTCCCACATAAGCAATACGAACCTGATCCTATTCCTCGAGTCTCTTGGGACTAAATCCAACGTTCTCGTATGAGGAAACTGTCAACGCATACTGCAGTTATCAAACCCTGAAACTTTGGTGATATTCTGGACGGTCCGGTAAGCCCGCGGTGTCTATGAGCAGACCACAATCGCGAGCGAGCCCTTGCTCCAACCACCTGCAGCCCCAAGCGCACATTGCTCACATGTTGAGATGTCAATGACAAGTCCATCCGCCAAGATCTTTCGCTTAGGGAAGCTATTGAAACCCTGGGTAGTCTGCAGAATCTAAGCGCTGTTTACCGTCGCGAGCGAGCCCTTGGCTGACCCACCCGGGACCCGACCCCGCGCCAGACAGAAAAGATCCGAGACCTAGCCGTGCTAATCCCAGCATTGAGAAAAGCTCTGTTAAAACCGACACCCTCTCTCGCCCACACATTTCGCACTAAAAGCCTCCCCTTTCTCTGATGGACAACAGCCTGCACAGACCTCTGTCAGACGGTCCCTGGAACTACTTTGTCCATCTGGATATCGAAAGAGGCTTGTGAAAGTTGTTCCCTGGCAGATCATCCCATAGCATGGCGACCGACGGTCATGTGAACGGAGCTCAGAGCCAGGACGATGTGTCCGCCACGGCTTCGCGAACAGAACGTTTGGCCACATTCCCACGATTCCGACTACCACTAACAGTACTGGTTACAGGTCAAATTGCTGAGCGCCGCTCGCCCAGCATGCACTCTCCTGCCAGGCCACCCAGAATATGATGCTGCACGCAGAAGCTTCTGGGCCGAGGATCAAGCTCATTGCACACCGTACTGCATCTTCCAACCATCCAGTGCCCATGATGTGGCCGAAGCGCTTCGAGTTCTCCGGGAAACAGGCTGCCCCTTCGGGATCAAAAGCGGTGGCCATGGCCGATGTGCTGGAGAGTCATCAATCTCCGCTGGAGTTCTTATTGATTTGAAGCGGCTTAATAAAGTCGATCTCTCCGAAGATCAATCTTCCTGCAAAGTGGGCCCTGGCAACTCCTGGAGAAATGCTTATACAATATTAAACCCTCGGGGTTTGACGGTTGTCGGCGGCAGAGCATCTTCAGTGGGAGTCGGAGGGTTCTGCGTCTCTGGTGAGTTGAATCTAGCTACATGGCTTCGTTGCCGTAGTATTAACACGCTCTTAGGTGGAATTTCTTTCTACTCGAATCGCCACGGCTGGGCGTTGGATAATGTGATATCTTTCGAGATCGTCCTTCCTAACGGAAAAATTGTGGACGCCAACAAGTCCTCTCACCCTGATCTATACAAAGCTCTCCGCGGGGGGGGCGCGAACTTTGGCATCGTCACAGAGTTGAATTTAAATGTCTACCCGTGTGAAACTTTCTGGGGCGGTGTAAAGAATTGCGAATGGGAGTACGGGGACGCGATGATCGATGCCTTCTTTGAATACGGCAACGACAACGTCAACAATGTCGATGCTGCCGTCATCTTTGGTGCCCTCAGTCACCAGGGTCGGTGGATATGGCATGCGGAGCTTGAGCACCTCAAGCCGACACCACCGGACGAGCGCTCGGCTCTCCGCGGATTCCTCAGCATTCCCTCCATTGCGGCCCCTTTAGGACCTACAAGCCAAATAGCCAGGGCGGACGGTATCGCCGGCGCCTACGTGTCAGGATCTTACAATGGCTTCTGGACATTCTGCACGGTCCCTGACAAGAGAATCGTCAAGTTCTTCTTCGAGACTTGGCGCGAGGAAGTTGATCCCATCGTGGATATAGATGGTATCGAGAGAGCGGGATTGGCAGACATCAACTTCGCTTCTCAGAATATTATCGAGACCATGAAACGGAACGGAGGCAACGCTCTTGGTTTGGCCGATAAAGGCCCTTTTCTGGTTTACTTGATGGAGCCGTACTGGACAGTTGGGGCACAAAGTCATCGTGTGTGGAGAGCGTTGCACGCAACTGCGTTGAGAACGCAGGCAGAAGCGAAACGTCTGGGTGTGCACCATGAGTATATCTATCTCAACTACGCCAATCCTTTCCAGGACGTTTTTTCTTCTTACGGACCGGAGGCCAAGAGATTTCTGGAGGTAGTGAGCGCCAAATATGATCCTGAAGGGATGTTCCAAAAGCAGAGAGGTGCCGGATGGAATTTTCATGGGTCGCTCTCGGAGTCCACGGGCATTAAACCACCTGTCGACTTGGGCATCTGATAGGGAGACACGTGCATGTATGTTCCATTTTCCTGAATGATCAGAGACGAAACCAAGCACACAGCATCGAGCATTGTAAACTCATGACACAGTCCAGTTCATCAGTAAGCACCTGTTGCGGAGACCCTTGTTCATGTCTTCGATCTTCTGAGAATGGCTTCATTAAGGACAGGGGGGAGCTGGATCCTGATGGTCAGGTTATTCTCGGTTTTCGCCAGGCTATCACTGTCGCGAGTGGCTGACTGTCCCTTGTCATTAGAGCTCCGAAATGGATACGAATAATGTGAATATTCACGAATAAATACGAATATACATAAATCTTGGCGAATAAATGTGAATATGAATATGGTCCGTGTTGAAGATCCCGGTGGCTGAAACTGTTAAAGCAAGTGATAGTATTGTTGGTTGTAAAGATTATCCTTTTCAGGCGGGATGACTCTCTTATATACACAAGTTCCCCATCCTTGGCACACCGTTTCAGCCACCGGGATCTTCAACACTCCCACTCGATGGCTACCTTCGCTAGGAGAGTACCGGCGACTTAAAGATCACGGTGCTGACAGCCCCCATTGACACCTTCAAGGGCCGCTTGAAAGATAACGAAAGGAACAGGTGCCTGAGTATCCGCTTCTGAGCTTGGGTCGACGTCCGTGAACATCACTCAATGCCTAGCCCTTTCCGAAACCATTCAAATCTGTCTCGTGGAAGAGGCTTGGTGAGTCCATCGACGATCTGTTCTGTCGTTGGAATGTATTTCAGTTCAACTGCCCCAGAGCCTTGAACCTCTCCCTGCCACTTGCGTTGGATGTCCATGTGCTTGGTGCGGGAGTGGTACTGAGGATTCGAGGACAGCGCGATGGCTCCTTGATTGTCGCCGCAGATGATTGTGGCGGCTTTTCCTTGCCCCATGTTGAGTTCGTGCAGGAGCCTTCTCAACCAGATCGCTTCCTTCGTTGCTTGCGTCTGCCCCATGAACTCAGCTTCACAGGTTGAGAGGGCCACGACACTCTGGCGCTTGGATTGCCAGCTGATCGCTCCGCTTCCGATGTTGAAGAGATAACCAGCTGTCGATCGTCTCGTGTCGGGACAGCCCGCCCAGTCTGCATCGGTGAAACCTCTCAACATCTGGAGGTGACCCTTATATGCCAGTTGGAGAGTCCTCGTGCCCTTGAGATATCGGAGGACTCGACGAGCCAGTTTCATATGTTGTGGTTCCGGGTTTGACAGATACCGGCTTGCCGTCGAGACGGCGTATGCAATGTCTCCTCGGGTTCCGAGCATGATATACATTAGAGATCCGATCATGCGTTGGTACTCGATTCTCTGATCCGCTGGGCAGGTATATCCTGGTCTGTTGTCTGGCAGAGGTGAACTTTCTACGGGCGTGCTGACGGGTGTGCAATCGTCCATTCCGAACTGAGGGAGAACCTGGTGGATGTAGGCTTCTTGACTGAGATAGAGTACTCGGTTCTGTCGATCTCGTCGGATGGACATGCCGAGGTAGTAGCTGCACGGTCCGAGATTTGTCATCTGAAACCGGTTTTCAAGCTCCGCTTGATCTTCTTTATCTCGGCGATGCTGGGCCCAATGATCAAAAGGTCGTCGACGTATACGGCCAGGTACACGTTGCTCCGGACAAAGATCCCGAGATCCGCGTTGATGGGTTCGAAACCCAAGCTGCGGAGAAAGTTGGTCAGGGTTTGGTACCAGATACGCGGTGCTTGTTTCAGTTGGATCCTAGATCACGTGATGCTCGCTGTAGGCAGCATCGCAACTAGCGGCAACTGCCTACCAGGCAGTTGTTGCACTAGCCAGTGCCCCGGGCACTGGCTGTGACTATAAGTAACTCCCACACCTTCATAGATAGTTCGAATGGAACATCACACTTGTCTCCCAGCTCTGAGCTTCAACTGAAGCAGGCACCAAGACAGTGGTACTCCATGTTGTGATATGAGGCTCAACCAACTATCATGGCATTCAGGAAAGCTTCATGGAATGATTCCGCATGCTTGGAAATTGTAGGGAAGCTTCTAGTATGTCACTTCGATGTATATATACTTCTTCCTTAAAGAAGAAGATAGAAGAAAAATAAGGATAAAAAAAAATAAATGCTTCCACTGCCATAATTCACAACACCCCAGACCTTTCAGCCAGCCTTTGTGCTCTTTGAGTTGTCTGGCTTCCGTGGTCGTGCTGGTGAATATCTGGATATCTCCGCTTTTGAGCTGGTACGCCGCTACCACCTTAACCGAGTTGGAGGGGGTGTTCTGCCGTATTGAGGCTTGTACTTGTTGTCGTGTCCAAGCAACTGGATGGCTTCGGTACCGTTGAACAAAACTCTGGTCCTTCAGCCTGACCGTGACAACCCGATCTCTGTATGCGGTGACTGGGGCCGAGGTCTTGTAGGCGTGTGGGCTTTGTTGGATTGGTGGTGGCGGTAGCGGCAACATGGCGCCTTTGGCCTGTGCCGCAACCTGCGCCCATGATGGCGTAGCAGTCTTGCCGCCGGTGAAGTTCGCAATGTTCAATGGTGTGGTGCCGAGTCCTACGGAGCCTTTAACGACGGTGATGTCTCTTCGAATGACCTCAATCCCCTTAGCCGCGTCTTGAATCTGCTGGAGAACGGCGCTCATCGACGGCTGCTGAAGCACCTTACTGATGAGCGCCACGGTGGATGCAATGTACGGTTGAACTACATTCCAGGGTATTTGATTGGCCCTGCCCTTATCCGCGGCCTGCAATTGGTGACTTGCTTCTCTAAGGTATGTGGCATGCTCGTTGATGTTTTCGGGACCATTGTTTACCTGCGGCCATCTCGGTGCCATTACCACGAAATCACGCGTTTTGGACGCGTCACTCGTAATAATGGCCTAAGGTAAAGTAGGTTGACAAAGAGAACTAGAGAAATTTACGCGTTTTCAAAAATTTGTTCTGAGCTGTGGGTGGTGTTTTTCATGAATATAAGCTATATTCACGAATATGGAGTCTATTCGTATTGCCAATATTCGTGAATATTCACGAATATTCACACATGTGGGTCGCAGGAAGGGAGGGTGGATGCTCGTCATTTCCTGGATGGGAAATAACCAGATTTCTGTCGTGTTGCATCCTCATTCAATCCTCGCCGTCGCTGTCGACTTGGGTGTGAATCTAAAAGAGTCTATCCCAGTCCAATTAACTCTACGGCAAATCATGTCTCCTGCTCCACCAGTTTACACATCCCTTTCTTTCTCATATCTATATGCGAGAATCATAGTGGCCCTTAACCAGGACCAACGAGCGCATGGTGTCAGCGCTCATCGACTGCCGTCGGAGACCTAGGACGTCTCTAGCTCCACTAAACACACGTTCCACGCCGACCTCGGTAGCGGGAACCGCCAAATAGTCACGGGCTGCGCGTGCCATTGACGGGAACTCGAAGGCATTGGCCTTCCACCACTTGAGCGCCCAGCCAGCGTTGCCATCTTCTACACAGCTCTGTGACCAGCTAACCACGGCCGAATCAAGGTACCTGTCGATGTCGGACATCTGGACCCCGACTCCGGCTGCAACCGTTTCAAAGTTTTCCACAACGAATCTGGCATCCCTGGCGGTTGTTGAGGCTCAGGTTGAAGACTGAAACGAAATGGATATTCGGTCTTGAGAAAGTCTCGGACCTGTGACACGATCAACGTCGCATCGACACTGTTCATGTGCGCTGTGATCAACGACGTCTTGATACGCGGATCCAAGGCGGTCGCCACGTAGTATAAGACGTTCTCGTCCATTTTGCGAATGAACTTCTCGGCCTTCTCTAGAGCGTGTCGAACCGCCTTTTGGACTGAGGCATGGATGTTCTGGAAGTCGCCCTGCGCTGTGCTGATATCCGTCAGTAGATCATCAAGACTCCAGTATATCGCTAGACTGTCGGCGATGGCAGGCATGTCTGAAGAGACGACATTGGTGTATTCCCAGAAAGGCTTCAGGACACTTTCAATCTGTCCTAAAAGCAGCCAATCCTCCTCAGACGGCAGGAGATTCTCGATCTCTGAGTGGGTCCGGATGTATTGGGTCAATTCCTTACGTAGTCGGAGCGCGTCTGCGATCATCGTGTATGTCGAATTCCAGCGAGTCTCAACATCATAGCTAATGACCTTTCGAGGCGACACCTCTCGCCAGTCCTGCAGGCGTTGGGGGCTCCGAGCTATCCAGAACACAAGCATGCGGATCTTCACAACAACATTCTTCCCTATGAGCACATCCGCGCTCGGCTCTGCGGGCCACCGGCTTTTTATTGCACTCGCATGATCCAGCGTGGCCTTCGCCTCTCTCATCGATCCCACCCCCAGTTGCGTCAAGATGTCCTTGCAGATAAGATTGATGATGTGCGCAAGGCATCGAATAAAGCTTGCGCGGCCGTGGAACCGCATCAGCGGCCGCAAGCGAAAATTACCATCCTCGTCATCGTAGACTTTCGACAGCACTGCATAGGGCGCATCGCACATGGTTCCATTATTGCCGGCGTTGTCACCAGTGATGGTGAGGAGCTTGGGTGCAATATCGAGCTCGTGGAGCATCTCGAGGACCGCCGCCGCCATATTCTCGCCCGAATGTGGTCCAGAAAGCTCGACGAAATCCAGCAGCGCTGCCCGTCGTTCAAAGCTCGGCGTGATCCAATGCCCAAATACCGCGATAATACTTAACTGGTGCTCAGACGTCCATGTGTCGAGAGCGATGGCAATACTGTCACAGGTTTGAGCAAGCTCACGCCTCAATCCCTGACGATAATCTTCAAACTCATTCTTGACACGGTCACGGAGAGTGTCGGCACATCTCAGGGGTAGCTGGGCTCCTGCAGCGTCAAAGATCGCCTTGAAGCTCGAGTGCTCGACCGTGGTGAAAGGCTGTCTTGTCTGAACGACCCATCGCACCAGTGCTTGTTCAAGGCTATTGCCCTCCTCCCTGAAACACAGCATACGGTTTAAAGGGCCTCGAGCCGGGCCTTCTGTCGACGCTGACTCGGGCCCAAGGCAATGGCGTGTGCGAAGATGAGTGAGCAAATTTGAAGTCGTGCCGTGGCGAGAGGAGTCGGAGGAAGACCAGCTACATCGCTTGCAGACGAGCAGGCGGTCATTCTGTGGAAGTCGGCCTCTTTTGCTCCACTGCGCGTCAAGCTCGGTAATCCAAAAATGGTCTTGAGTCCAGCTAGTATGCATTTTTCGCCTCTTCATCGCGGACCCTACAACGCTGGGGCCTGTCGACAGACAAAGTTCCCCAGATTCTGATGTGAGAACCGTTGGGAAGCCACCGGACACCTGCGAGACCGACTCGGCTAACAGTGGCCCCTCACCGTCATCGTATTCTTGCGTGTCTGAGACAGTGCTTTGCTCAAGGACCGACGAGCAAGGCGAAATCGACCTATCGAGCCCGTTGTTAAGTGCCAGGTAGTCTTTGCGAGGTAGATTCCGCGTCACGCGAAACTCACCGAGAGCCACAGCCATATCTTCCAATACGTGAGCTGTTTGCTCACGGAATCCAGTGATAGCAGACGGTCAGATCCATCTGGCATGAGAAGTATGCCTATCGAGAAGAATCGCGCTCCAACTAAGCCAGAAAGGCTTCGAAATAAACAAGTTCGCGTACCAGGAACTTTCGAGCCTCTCGGAGCGTGTTTGAAGGGCGCACTACGCGAAGCCTCTCCTGCACGGCATGTATGCTGCTTTTGGGCCATTGCAAGTGCAGCAAGTCGCCTCCGCGCCTCGTAATTGATTCGGTGTAGGTGAGCTGGTTCAGGCTACGGATATAAATACATCAATTTGAGATGAGTTTACTCACGTGAATCCGCATCGACCTTCAACGGCTCTGAACTGTGCAAAACGACGGAGGCTAGATACTCAACAGAATGGAAAGCGGTTGCGGACCACGATGTAAGCCTCTCTGGGTAGATTCTGACATTTGCAAGCTTACAAGGGTCAAGAATCAACGTCGTCGTTTGGTGGCCGGAACGGATCAACTATCTGCCGAACATGAAGTGAATAATGTGAATACGAATGTGAATATTGCCCATTGATTGATTGATTGATTGATTGATTGATTGTTTCATAGTCTGTCCCAACCGCCCTAGGGCAGGTATGCAGCGTCCAGCTATAAATACAGGCGTTCCCACCCTGTCACTTCCACGAAGACAAGCCGTCCCTGCCCAGAATGGCTTCCTGCTTTGGCTCCAGCGCAGTACCCCTATATCTATAGTTCTAATAATCGTCCTGTATCTGTGCACTTGTCAGACCTTTCCAGTAGAAACCCTGAAGTGAGAACAAGTGTGATGATGTTTGGAACTACCTATGAGGGTACGGAAGTTACTTATAGCCATAGCCAGTGCCCTCGGGCACTGGCTAGTGCAGCAACTGCCTGGTAGGCAGTTGCCACTAGTTGTGATGCTGCCTGCAGCGAGCATCACGTGACCTGGGATCCAACTTTTCCTGGCCCTCCTCGACTTCTGTATGACAATAGTACACTCGTTCACGATTACGAATATTGGAGTACTGTGGACGGCACTGCCCGGAATTGCTCCAGAAGGCCCGTCCGTATCATCATCTTGGCTGCTTGGACCGCCATTGACGAGCTACAGAGAACTTGCTTGATGTCTGTGCACGGAGCTTTGCCTGCCCACATTCGTTGTCGTTCTTCACACCAGTTCCGACATTCACCATGAAGCATCCTCGCCGGTCGATAGTTTCAGTACAGAGGCCTCAAGCTCTTCGCTGATGTCGATATTGTTCTCTGGCATCAAGAGGATAAAGTTCCTCCCCCTGGCGGTCGCAGCCTCAAAGCAATCTCTTGGGTGTAAGATTATCAGGTCAGCATCAAAAGCCCTGAAACCCTGCTTCAAATACTTCATCGCGAGCTGCTCGACGTCGGATGGATTTAAAGAATTGCCCGTTAAAACATGAGAATCCCTCCAGGTCAGTCTGTCCCACGTATAGAACGTAATGCAGACGGTCGGCCGAGTAAAGGACTTCAGTGGCAAGATGGACTAGAATGTTAGTTGTGGCAGAAAAGACCAGGATTGACTATGTGTTGGACTGTACCTGGCAGCTCATGCCCATGCTTGCTATCAAACCTTCCTGGTTTTGCCCTGGAAGATGATTTCTGGAGGTTTGTTGAGGTTGAGGAGGTGAATCTTCGGACTTCATGCTTGATTACGTACAATAGACTGGGAGAAGGCGAGGAATGTCAAATGTACAGGATCCTGTTGCTGGGTACGAGTATGTGTCGTGATCCGCCAGCTATATATAGGCGCTTGAGAACCTGAGTAATTAGCCCATTGATTTGAAGTCCTCCCGGAACCCACCGCGAGAGCCTATGAGAAAACTTTCTGGGCCTATCAAGTCTCCACCTGCCCCCCAACCATCATTCGTTTCTCACAGTTCATCGCTGGATAGTCCCTTGCGATATAGAATGTGTACGCGTCTTGGATTGAATATGCAGTACTTGAAGCCAAGGATGAAGCTTCAGGACAGCTGACCATCTAGAGCTGAGGGGTTGGTTTTATCCCGCGGGTGACAAAGCGCCTACAGTGATACTGACCCATGGTGTGCGTACTCACCTTAACCAAAATATGTGCTTGCTTGCCTATCGAAGCCCCGACACCTCTCCTGTATAATCGCAAATTGTATACCTTGCTACTACTTGTCCTATTTTTCAGTTAACCGGGATCAAAGAACAATATCTAGACTCTTTCGCGACTAGATTACAAGCCGCCGGTTTCGCCTGCCTCGTTTACGATAACCGCAACTTCGGCGCCAGTGAAGGGCTACCCAGATACGAGGTCGATGCCTTTGGACAGATTGAAGACTATCACGACGCTGTTACCTTCGCCACTACTCTCGCAGACGTCGATCCCCTGCGTATCGCAATCTGGGGTTCTAGCTACAGCGGCGGCAATGTTATCCAAGCAGCTGCCGTCGACCGACGGATTAAAGCTGTAATCGCACAGGTTCCCTTCGTATCAGGAAATAGTAACGCGCCTACACTGATGCCGATTATGCCCAGCATTCTTGCGGACCGCGCAGGGATCGCGACTGGCAAAGCCGGCGAGATAACGACCGTTGTGGCAAGCAGTCTCGCGGAGGCAGAGGCTGGCACATCGGGGAGCATACTTCCAGAGGCGGACGCGTATAAATTTTTTGTCCAGAGCCCGCTCCCCGAGGACGTTTTCTGGGAGAACAAAATCACCTTACAAAGTCTTTTTAAGTTGATGAAGAACGAGCCTCGAGCATACATTCAGCGAATTTCTCCCACACCATTGTTGATGGTCGTTGCGGGGGATGATACTGCCGTGCATGTGCCCACTCAGCTGGCAAAGTTTGGAGAAGCTGGAGAACCAAAAGAACTGCTTTTCATGGCAAAAACAGGTCACTTCGAACCTTACAGTGGCGCCGCATTCGAAGTCAATGTAGAGAGACAGATATCGTTTTTGGTGCAGCATTTATTGTAACTGAGGTCATTTTAGAGAATCACGATGCCTGAGTTTGGACAGGTGAAGAAGCAACGCCAAAAGTCCGAGCCACAGTTAAATTACTTCCAGCGTCTCCACGGTTGCAAGTACGAATATTCTGGAAATAGTGAGCTATTTATCTGCACGCAAAATTCTGGGTGTATCAAACAACTCGCACCGAATAAAAGGCGTAACTAACCGTCCATTCTCGATAGATCGCCCATCGATATAACAAATAGATCAATTTTCACAGGTGAAATAAACCTCTTCCACAACAAGACACACATGGATCTTCGGTCACTTTAGCATCAACCTTCAAGCCGCGTGCATTCGAGAAACCCCCGATAGCCATCGATACCGGCGCTGTGTATCTAGTCCTCGAATATGCAAACCAATTAATAGAAGCTCATAGAAAAACACCACCGATGACAGCGGAGGCATAGTTCATGGTCGACCCTGTTGCCGGAAGGTAGGATGGAAAGCAGAGCCAGACTGTGTTGAAGGGCATCCAGATAATCGAAATGATGTTGAAAAAAATGCCGCTTCGGCCCAAATTGAAACAGCGTTCGCTCTGGAACACCTTCGCTCGGCCGCTATAGAGAAGACTCCCGACAGCCAGGACGTATGACAGATAGCACATAACAATGCCGCCACCCAGAATGGCATTTATTGCTGTTGTGTATCCGAGAAGGATTGCGCCCATGGCGCCAACGAGAACGGAGCTGGATAAAATAGCGTTGACAGGGAGCTCGAGACGGTTGTTGGCTTTTGCCAGCCAGACCGCGAAGGGTAATGCTCCTTGTCGTGAAATAGACCACACGATCCGTGAGAATAGACGGACGGCCGCAGCCAGGAGGACGATGATATACACCAAAATTGCGATAATTGTCAGGGCTTCCGAGTTCAAGGAATCTAAGAGTACTTCAGCACGCAAGGGGTGTCAAGGTCAGTGAGTGCTGCAGTCCCAGACTACTCCAGAGATTAAAGGACTCATTCAGCACATGCGTGGGTTCGATTCCAATGACTACGCCGATATCGACGCCTGGATGAGGAGGAGTGGTGGTGACAGCTTCATCATCGTACGCTAGTGCCTTCTCGCCTTCCGTGATGGGGGCCATTTTGGGTATAAGAGGTGTTGTCACTGAATTAAGAAAACTTGGGCTTCATGGGGAAGAGGAGGAGGCAGAGAAATTTGAGCAGTGCAGAGGCGCGGTGGTGGTGTCTAATCAATAATAGCGGGCGCCAATGACCATCAGGCTGTTTGATCGAGACTGTGCCGACGATGGCGTGTTGCTGGCCATTCAAGACGATGGTAGAGGCAGAAGAATCGAAACACGGAGAGAGCTTGGAAGCGGTAGGCGCAAGCGACACAAGGAGCGCAGGTTCATTTGACGGTTAAGACGGGGATCAATTATGATAAGCAGCCTGATATAGCAGTCGACGGCGATGGGGCGTATAGATTCGCCAATTATGCTTAGGTAGGCTTAAACCGGCTGGCAGTCTATTGAGATGTATTGCGTGTTTTACGAATCCGTAAAATGCCTGGAAAATAAGGGGTAAAAAGTGAAGGCGAGACTGATGGACCAATATGGCCCACCCATATGTAGCAAGTAACAGCGATCAGGAAATAGAGTTTCCCCGAACCCTTCATGAAGCTGACGGTGACGCAGACACCTAGATTTTCCGCCAACGAAGTACGCCGATTATATTTGGAATGTTTGTGGTTTTTGGTCTTAAGCCAACCTCTTCATAAAGTAATATTTCAGACCTACACTGTTGCGAGCCATATCCCTAGTTCTGCTGATCCAGTATATAATTATTCGTCGCCCGACATGTCTCGTATCCTGAAGTAAGGCTGTTGCTGCGGTCCTTTTGCCTACAACACCCTGTTCACGACGCTAATCAGTTACCTTCTAGTCTTGAAGGCCGGGTCGCCATCGTTACAGGCTCTTCTTCCGGAGTTGGTCGCACCGTCGCACTGGCACTGGCAAGCGAAGGCGCTTCTGTTGTATGCAGCGATTTGAGGCCAGACTTACGACCGGGCGGGTATGAGGTCGAGACAGCGCCTACACACGAGATAATGACAAAAGCAGGCAAGGCAATTTTTATAAAGGCCGATGTCAGCTCGCCGCATGATATGGAGGGCCTTATCGCATCCGCAGTGGCTGAATTTGGCAGGCTAGACATGTGCGTTAGATCTAAGGACAGCCAGAGATGCCCCTTTCAAACCCGATCGAATGGAGAGTGGCCCCTAACACTATGAAGTATGGTTAACAATGCGGGGAATATTTTGTGGGCAGAATAAAATCGCAGAAGAGTCGATAGAGGCTTTCGACAAGACTATGGTAGGCCGGTGTACAAGATGGCGATCAATACAGGGGATAATTTCTGATCTTTTTCAGGCCATCAATACTCGGGGTACTTTTCTCGGTATAAAATATGCTATTGCACAGATGTTGAGACAGGAACCTCAACCTTCCGGGGATCGTGGCTGGATTGTGAATATTTCTTCAATCGGCGGCTTGGTCGCCTTGTCGATGGAACGTTTGTCATCCCTTTCCACCTTGACGTTCTTTCTATTTGTCTTTCCCTTTTCGCCACCCGCCACCCTTATGATTCTAGACGCTGATATTTTTCCTAGCATCCTACTGCGCAAGCAAGGGCGCAGTGACAAATTTAACCCGACAGGTTGCGGTTGACTACGCTCCGGACAAAATCCATGTCAATGGTATATGCCCTGGCTTCCTGAAGACAGCAATGGTCCGCCCCGCCCTCGAGGATGCGACTCTCCACGAACAGCTGCACAGCGCGTCCCCATGGCCGCACCTGGGCAAGCCAGAGGACGTGGCGAAGGCAGTATTGTTTCTCTGCAGCCACGGTGCGAGCTGGATGACAGGTACTATGGTAAATGTAGACGGTGGCTACTGCGCAAGGTAGTTAAGAGGTAGATAATGAAAGACGACAACTGCCATTGACGCCCATATTGAGTCGTGGCTTACAGCGTGAATAATACCGCATGGTGGTGCAGACGTTTACTTTTTGGGCGACCTCTCCATTGCAATCCGCACACCTTATAGGTGGAAATATGGAGTATCGAGCTCAATGTAACCCGAAAAGATCAAAAGTCTCTATCTCGGGAATTTCGATCTGCAATCGTTTGAAAAGTTCATCAAGATAAATTGTGTTCTGCTCGGCGGGCCACTTTCTCGCAAGACGGGCTCCTTCCCCTCCTCGCCCTGTGTACATAGAAAGGTACATGTGGTGGAGAAACGAAATCTCCTTATTAAGTGTGGCGCAAACCCTGGTCCAGTCAGGCTGTGTCGACTAGCCCACGTGGCCGTCCCACATAGTGCTCGTGCGTAATGCGTGACATCAACCCCGAACTGCTGTAAAAACAGCTTTGTTCTCTCCACTAGATGGTTAATCGAAGTACTCTTTCCCAAAGTCTTAGGCTATCAGCTAGTTCAATATTCCAAACCATGCTGCAGAATTCGAAAAGAAGAATAAATTGCGACTGTCACTCCAGGGTTCCGGTGGAGCGACCTTATCTTACCCTATCTAAGGCCCGGTCCACGCCACTGAAACTTACCAGTACCGCGGACAAGCCGTGAGTGACAAAAGTACCGACAGATCAGGACGCTTTGGCCTTCCCCCTCCTCACTAGGCCATCTTTGGTCTCCTTCGCATCCCTCTGATATTACTAAGCACGACTCTCATACCGCCGCATTGGGTAGAATCCTCGACTACTAGAAGGCCATTCCAATAAACTCGGGCCCGTTGCCAGCGACCTGTACTCGTATCCCAATTGGGGCAGGCTCGCATGCCTCGGTCTTGCAATTTACGGTCATTCACCCGTGTCCCAACCACCGCCGTATAAGCCCGGGATCCTGTCAAATGGACCAAAACATACACGGGCTGCTGGACATGCCGAGATCGCGGCACGAAATGCGATGAGCAGAAGCCCAAGTGTCAAAGATGCCTAGGTGCCAAACTTCTTTCGTGAAGGGTATCGTGTGAAATTGGTTTGGGAGGATGAGCAGAATCACGGTAGTCGGGCGCAACGTCGGTCGCTCATACCGGAGCAAGAGCCTAACCGTTTACTGCTGACCTCTGATGAATTCAGGTCGGCTTTGGCCCACATCGAAACAGCCGAGGCCGACTTCGAATCCTATGTGGGCTATTCCAGAACCTCAGGGCTGTTTTCAGCCTTTTCAGCCTCCTTCTCGAGATCTCCCAGCCATGCACCATCTTTTCTCGAAGGAGCGGGTCAATCCGAAAGTCATGAAGCCTCAGATGCTGCCGCGACCGGCTCTCCAGAAATGAGCCAGCAAAACTACGGTTCCGATTCGGTGGCCTCGACGGCATCCATCTTGGAGAGCACTAACTCCAACCATGACGAGGACTATCAAGATGATATTGAGCGATGGCACGTGGACGACGCCGATTTTGCCACTTTGGAGGATTTCGAGGCCGGAACAACTACGGATTCCAGCAAGGAGAAGATACAGCCCCAAGTCAGGCCACACCTGTCCTCAGCCTCACTCGCAGAGCGTGTGCTATTGCAGCACTGGATCACAGATTTGAGTGAAATGATAATACCAATACCCCGCTACGACAACCCGCTTCGCACGCTCTTTATTGGCCTGGTGCTTGCAGCTCCAGAGTTGAACCAGGGGTCTTCAGGAAATGTCGCCCTACTATACGCACTCTATGCCATTTCCGCCTTCAATCGGGCTCGCATCTCAACATCTTCTCCCAATGACCATCTGGAGGAAATAGGAACATGATACCATGAGCTCAGCCTTCATCAGCTACGCAAGACTTTGTCGCAGGTCAAAGCGGGCGCCGAGCCGTCACACCAGGAAGCGGTTCTCGCAACCATCATCACCATGTCATCGATCGAGGTGATGACCGGAAGCTTTGAAATCTGAGACACCCACTTGGATGGGGGAAAGTCGTGGTTCCGATCGACCATAGCCAGCAATGCGGCGCTGAGTGACAACTTCTGGATGTTATGTCAGATCTTCATCTGCATTGACACCCCTGGGAATCCTGACACACGTCCACATCGGCCTGCATATCTGCTTGAAGAAGCGAAGGCCGGCCACGGCTGGCTCATGACGGCCATATTGGACAAGACCTACTGTCTGACGAAGCTCTTTGGCATTACACGGCCTTCGACGTCTGCGCGCAAGGCCGCAGAAGAAGAAATCAAGGACCTGGAAGCCCACATCCGACTCAACGACCCTGAAGCTCTCGTTTCAGATTTGGAAGTCGGTGAAGACAGGCTAGCTGGGCATCATACGTGTACATTCTTCTGCGCGACACTGATATACTTCGAGCGGTGCCTCCAACGTACGCTCCCAAGAAAGCTTCAACCTCTGGTGCGCAGAAGCCTGGACCACTTCGACGCCGTTCGACAACTCGAGGTCCAGCATGGCTACAAGGCGTGTGGATTACTTTGGCCCGAGTTCGTGACAGCATATGAGGCTAAAGATGTGGCCGACTTGCGCACGCGGTCGTTTTGCCTGTTCAACAAGGGCAGAGCCAAAGGTATCGGGAATGTCCTATCTATGGAGAAGGTGGTGCTCGACGTCTGGCAGAGAAGAGATGACAGTGCCCACGACGAAGACGTTGGTGGGAAAGTTCGATGGTGGATCTAGGACTGGACATCATTTTGACTTGACGCGGGAGCGTGGAATCTGGAGTCTGTGTTGAAGATTCAGTTCAGATGCCCTCCGACGTGGGATGATAGGGAGAAAGATTAGTCATTTCTTGGTCATCATTGCAAATACATTTCGGAATCTCCCTCTGAGAGGGTGTATATATATGTGCAGGACGGAGCCATGATTGTGAAGACAATAACAACGAATTAATGGAAAAACATCTCGAGCCTGAGCATAATCTCATATCCTCAACAAAAGGAAGGGTGGCAATGATCCAACCCGATACGAATCGGGTATGCGACAGCGAAACGGAGCATTGCGCACTGTCTCCCGATATGTCAATAAAGTATGATAATCAGACCCACTGACCACGATTAAATGTGCTTATACATCCGGCCAACAAATTTAGGCAAGTCACAGCGGACGCCCGCCAGGCGATGTTTTGGAGACATTTAAAGAGTGACATATCCATTCTTTGAAACTTTAGAACGTGCAGTTACTTCTGATCATATGTACTCACAGACTTAAAAGATTCAGGAAAAATGGCCTGCGAAAATGATTCCTTCGTCGATGATGGAGAGCTCCAAGCTCTCGGATACAAAAGAGAAATGCCGAGACAATTCTCAACTTGGAGCTTGGGGGCGCTCTCGTTTACTCTCACATGCACTTGGCTTGGTGTTGGATCTTCGATGGGTATCAGCTTGACAGAAGCCTCTGCAGCTGGAACCATTTGGTCCCTTCCCGTCGCCGGGACAATGACTGTCATTGTCACTCTGGGGATGGCAGAGCTTGCTTCAGCATATCCGGTGGCTGGTGCACAGTACTATTGGTCGTTTATGGTTGCCAGAGAAGACTATAAGCCGTTTGCTGCATACCTGTAAGTCATCTACCGAGCCCTCCAGAAAGCCTCGCCAATAACAGACTGAAGCAACGGATGGTTGAGCATCCTGGGATGGTGGCTCGCCTCCGCCTCTGTTGCAAACTTTGTCTCATCATTGATCATAGCTATCGTCGCGCTCTGGCTACCGGATTACGACGTTCAACGATGGCAGCAATGGTTGATGTACGTTGCAGTCATTTGGATTGCAGCAGCTTTCAACATCTTTGGATCGGGCTTGATACCTCTATTCAACCAGATGCAATTTATCGTGGCACTACTGACCTTGACTTCAACTGTAATTACACTTTTGGTCTGCAGTCGAAACCAATATCCTTCTGCTGCTTGGGTTTTTGCCGATACAACAAACTCGACAGGATGGTCTAGTGACGGGTTTGCCTTCATCTTGAGTATCAGTAATGCTGTCTACTCTTTTCTGGGCACTGACTGTGGGGCGCATCTTTGCGAAGAGATTCAGAATCCTGGTCGAAATGTGCCCAAAGTCATGATATGGCCTCTTGCAATGGGTTTTCTGACAGCATTTCCGTTCGCTTGCGCGTGCATGGCTTCAATAATCGACTTGGACGCTGTGCTCAACACTGCAAGTGGTGGGCGACCATGCTTTATACTTCATTACAGATCAGCTGATATACGCCAGGTCTTCCTCTAATCGAGGTATACTACCAAGGAACCGGCTCGGCTGTCGCTGCGTCTATCTTGACATCTTTTTTTGTATTCTGTGCCTTTGGGTGCCTTGTTGGAAATGGTGAATAGCTTTGCGGTAACACTATTGAAGAAGTTGCTAACTGGTTCTTTAGCTACCACAGCTTCTCGTACTCTCTGGGCAGTGTCCCGTGATGGCGCCCTACCGTACTCCTCTCTATGGATGCGTGTCAGTAATCGCTTCAAGACCCCTGTTAATGCTTTGTGCCTTTCCGGCACCCTTGTTTCCGTAAGTAACACGCCCCCAACAATTGACTGTACTATCTAAAAATCTCCAGGTGTATGGACTCATCTTCCTTGGCTCAACTACTGCATTCTCAGCAATGGTATCTGCGGCTATCATATTTCTTCAAACATCTTGCATAGCGCCACAAGCTATCCTGCTCTATCGCGGTCGTGATAAAGTCCTTCCACCGCGATATTTCTCACTTGGTCGATATGGTGTGGCAGTCAATGCCACAGCGATCATCTGGGTAATATTTCTGGATATCGTATACTGTACCCCAACTACGATGCCAGTCACGGTGGAAAATATGAACTATGTATCAGTGGTATCTGTTGGACTGGTGTCATTTGTTGTGGTTCTGTGGTTAACATCAAAGAAGGGGGTATTTATGGGCCCGAAGATCGATATGGCTGAATTACAGGAAAGACGTATGGCAGCAATGCGTGATGACGGTATTGTAGTAGTTGAAGCCACAGAGGGAGCATCGGCTCGTGCTGTACCAAAGGCACCAAGTCGAGAAGCGAAGAGATGAGAACACCACATGTGACAGGCTATCGTCAAGTAGGTGCTAAAGAGCATGTCTCAAAAGAGTTACTCAAGTGTTACAAGTCGGGTTGGCACGAGGTTGCCAACGCAGAGGGCGACTTCAGAAAGGCAGGTAGGCCGGTAAGGCTGAGTCACGTGATTAGGAAGGATCTGCGTGGATCAGTATGGGTCAGTTGTGACCAGCGGGATCTGGACAGAGGTACACTGATCGCACAGAGCACTACGCTCATTGGACGTCGGAAACCTATATAGTCACGCTCCTTCCCCATAGTAGATAGGACCTTCGTGGTCAACCTAAGTCTATAGTCGGACCCTATGGTTCTCAATGCTACGATTGCTATAGACACCACTGTGCCCCAGGTAGAGAACCTAACACTATTCCAGTCTGAAATGACGGTCATTTCACATACAAACGCGGTCTTGGCCGTGACTTTCATCCACTAACAAAATTGTAGCCACCATTAGGGCTCCGAAATGAATAAATGAATATGAATATGGGCCATATTCATGCGATCAGCTCGGTCATCACCCAGATGCGGACTGGCAAGATCGGCCTGCGCGCCTACCTCCACGCCATCAACAAAGCCGACACCGACCAATGCCAATGCGGCTATGGACGCCAAACCGTGAGACACATCCTCCTCGAATGTCGGAATTGGTGCGAGGAGCGACGACGAATGTGGGCAGGCAAGGCTCCATGGGTGGACATCAAGCAAGTTCTCTGCAGCTCGTCAATGGCAGTTTCATCAGCCAAGATGATGTTGAGGACGGGACTTCTGGAGCAATTCCGGGCAGTTCCGGTACTTTAATACACGTAGCGTAGACGAGTGATTAGTGTTACACAGAAGTCGAGGAAGACCAGCAAAAGTAGAAACCCTGAAGTGAGAACAAGTGTGATGATGTTTGGAACTACCTATGAGGGTACGGAAGTTACTTATAGCCATAGCCAGTACCCTCGGGCACTGGCTAGTGCAGCAACTGCCTACCAGGCAGTTGCCACTAGTTGTGATGCTGCCTGCAGCGAGCATCACGTGACCTGGGATCCAACTCTCCCCCTGTGACGCGGGCCAGAGGGTCGTGACACCATCAAAGGATCCCGGAGCTTGCTTGAGATTTCTTTCTCCATTTCTTTGCGTCGCTAAGTTCAGCCTCAGCTTCAATAGCTTCTTGTCTCTTGGCCTCTCCCCCGGACGAGCAATTCAGTCGATCAACGAAACCCATGTGTGTCGGCTTCGGCAGGCCTTTTGTGAAGATATCCGCCAGGTTATCAGCGGTCTCTACCCTTAGTGTGTTGATAACACCATCATCTACCTTCTCTCGGATGAAATGGTGCTTGACATCAATATGTTTCGATCTGCTGTGAAACTCTGGGTTCCTAGTAAGTTTTAACGCCGAATTGTTGTCAATGTACAGTGGCACCGTGCCAATATGAACGCCGGGTATACGCAGATCGTTAATGAAGTTGCGGATCCACACCGCTTCCTTCGCTGCTTCGGCACCTGCAACATATTCTGCGTCCATGGTAGACGTAGCAACTGTTTTCTGTCGTTGTGATGACCAAGAGACAGGCCCCCCAGCCAGGGTGAAAACCCAGCCGGTGGTAGACCTGCGAGAGTCTTCACAACCAGCAAAGTCGCTATCCACGAATCCTCGAAGTTGAATCCCGTGTTTATTAGAGTAAGTGATCCCTTTTCCCAACAATACGCAAGGGTTTCGAAAGAGGTAGGTCGCAGCACGGTGTCACCGCACCGCCGAGCGGATACGACACTGGTCTGCAAAGCCGTTTTTGTTTCAGCAGTAGAGAGGTTAGTGCGGAGCTGCTGCCTTCGCGGTGGCGCGGTGGCCGTTTCAGCGACCAGATATGAGTCAATTGGGTCTCGCATGAAAGACCCTGAAGTTGGAAGGGTGTGGTCGATGATCAATCTCGATGTATTTGACTAGTTGACTCAGGAACTCCAGAGATTGTGACTGACGCCCGGCCACCACGAACGCGTGCGTTGTATGCGTCCCCACTTCCCTCAGGCTCAAAAGCTCCACCATTGGCTTCATCGTCTCATAAGTTTCAAACCGCCAGTTTCCCATTGGCGTCTTCTTGAGCCATGTCATTCTTTGCACGCGTTCCAATTTACTACTGGATGTTTTCATGAGAGGCTGGCGTTTCGAGTCAACTTGTGTAACCTTTCTTCCATATTCCTTGTTGTCGACTGGGTGAATGGGGCTGACTGATAAGGAGAGTGGCATTTTAACTGCGTCAATAACCTACGCGAGCCTTTGGCTCACTCTATGCCCCAATATGACGCGCCAACTGAAGGTTGGTCCAGGCAGATGTAGCGTTGATCAGTCCAGCGGATCAAGAAGAGGCAATATGCTTCATCTTTTGAGACCAGCAGCGCGTTGGTCTCTTTTGTAGCGAATATTTTCTTTAAATGTAAAAAGCATGAGCGCCGTAAACTGATCTCTCAAATCTCTTTAACACAAGGCTCGCTGATGCTCGTCGAGATGAGAAGAGCGAAGTACTCAAGGTCACGCAATGGCTGCTTAAACTGCAAGTTGAGCCATGTACGCTGCGATGAGACATCTCCTCAATGCGGCAGAGAGCGGCAAGCGATGCTCCTACTTAGGCAAAGCAGTGAACACATTCGAGAGACAATCAGACGACACATCACCGAGTTCTCTGGTCGACGAAAGTAAATTTGAGGTCATCCAATCTGTCCCATTGTCGCAGAAAATTTCGAGTAGTGAAGCGTGTCTTCTAGAGCATGCGCTTAAACTATCGAAGAATGAGTATGCTGTATGGGGTGGAATCTTACCAATGTTAGACAATCCTGGCGCTGTTACGTTGTTGAACTCTAACATGGCTCACAGATGCCTTGAAATAGCTCCGCCGGAAGCATTTGGGCAGTACTCTTTGCTGGGGTTTTCTGCGTCTCACCTTGGCTGGGAAAATGGGGGAAAGGCTGCAGCCATAGCTCGACACTATCAAGCACTGGCTTATTCTGGATTACAAGGTATTGAAGTCGTTTCAAGCGAGAACTCAGAAGTTGTCCTAGCAGCTACGACTCTTTTACTTTGGCAAGCTCCGAACAGGTAAGGTGGTCCAGCTCAAGGCAAAAGCAATTCTCACGCGAAACTAGGTTGAGTTGGCAACAGCTACGAAAGGGACTGTCGAATGTACGTTGATTGAAATGATTCTGTGACATCGCTAATGAGTCATCAGGTTCGAGAGGTCATGAAACCATGGGCCCACGAGTCACCGCTTGCTCATCACCATGGTGTGGCTGGATTGGTGCGAACACCACAGCCCGCACTTGTTAGTGAATATCGAGTGAGACTTCTCCGCGTTCTAAGTGAACTGCGTTCGCGATTCGAGGAGAGCGGATGGTCGGATACGTCTTTGAGAATACGGTCTATTAGGGATATGGAATCAAGTTTACAATCCATCGAACAGAACTTCCAGGATTGCGAACCGCTTCTGGAAACCCGTCCTTTAGACTTGTCCGCCCCTTCTCAAGGTCTTTCACGCATCTCCAATCCTCACCATGAAGATTTTGGCCAAGTTCACGTTGTGAGAAACCTTGTTCTCTGGTTGCCACCATCAATTGTGGACACAGAAACAATTAAACCATTGGATCTCGTTCTTCTCGTGCTTGTGTACGCTGGGGCGCTGATGGTAGAACTTTCGCTCCCAGAAGGTGGAGATCTATGTTTGGGCGAGCTGTCTCTTCGCACACTGCTAAGCGATCAGATTCAGTTGGCGGAGGCTATAAGTTGGCAGGAGCTGGATCCCAACTCTTCAGAACGCAATCTGTTTGACCGATCGAGTTGCGGCAGCGTACGAACAAGCGCGAGAACCTGTGGAGAACTCAGAGATCAATTAGCAAGTCGCGTAGGGTCCAATTGGAAGTGGAACACTCACTTTTGGTATGTAATGTTTGCACGCAGGCATCCGGAGATACTTGGAAATAGACGGTCGCAGTTGGACCTCGCATTTATCAATGACCTCATCGCCGGAAAGAGCCACGCGTCTCCAAGATGCAACGGGAAGCGGAGATGACGCTGAATAGTGATCGGAAAATGGATGAGCAAGCGAAAGCAGGTTCAATTAAATGGATGAAAGAAAAAGAAGCAAGGCGAAGGAAGGTTGAGTTGGAGCAGCTAAAAACGGGTAAGTCGAGGTCATGGCAAACCCGAAAAGAAAGAGACAAGTGGCAAACAAAACCAGGAGACTAGGCGTCAGCGTGCGAAACGCATAGTTGAAAACCTATGTCCATCGAACCTTTGACGATGCTCGAGCGACTCGTATTCTCGATCCAAGGTGCAGCGGTGTTTGAACAACACATCATATGCGCGAACCAATTTCGAACTCCAGCAAAACAAGACTAGCAGACAACCTTCTCTCTCGCATCTCGCAGTCACTTGGATGTTGTACTATTTCTAACAACTATAGACCACTGTATCAACCATCGATCTTGGGTCTTGCTAACCTTTGAGAAGTATATGAATAGCTTCATTTGTTTTCATAAGACGATTTCGGGATCTTTTTATCCCCGTTCTTCTCTGTCGCCGAGCCCTCGTCTGAACTAGGTTTCGTTAGGATAACTATTCATTCAAGAGAGTTGACTCACAGGTAGGTGTGGGCATGTTTCCCACATTTCTGACATTTCTTGCCTCCCCAACACTCTTTGGTTGAGGCTGCGTCCTCTCGAATTAATCTTGGTGTTGACGATCTTCCTTGTTGCGTATTCTCCAT